AACTATCCCTCATAGACATCCCCAGTGATTTGTTTTATGGCTATTTTACTCCCTTCAAGTTGGCAATCAAAATTACCCCGCACCAGTCTTGATAACTTCCCAAGAAAAATAAAATCTAACAGCCACTTGAGAGAAACAGCGATTCTATCCAGGAAGTTCCATGACAATGCATAGTATTTCAAAGAACAAAATTACATCTTCAATTAAATTTCCACCTGGAAAGAAGTGGCAAAGTAATGTTCAGAATGCCAGACATGCTTAAAACTCTACTTTGTCTCAATTTTTGCCTCTTTCTCCAGTTTTCACTTGAGCATACATTCTATGGCTATTGCATACAGTATTTGGAGAAAGCTTCTGAGAATTAAATGCTTATATAAATCTTGTTTACCTGATAATTCAAGATTGGCATATATAGACATATCATATTTACACACACACACACACACACACACACATACACACACTACTGGTGCTGGCAGCAATGTGGAACTGTGACTAGGGAAGTGGGCAAACACTGTACCAGCCTCTACCCATCGCTATGTCAATGAACATAAATTCTAATTTGTAACACCCCTGCAGTTCTATTGTATGGCTCCATTAGTCTATGCATGAATTATTTACACATGATACATCATAATGGCATCGGAACCATTTATGATATCAATTCATACTATTACAGAACAGGTAATCTTCAGCTGTCCAACACAACCTGTGTTAATTAGATCTCCAAGAAACTTCGCTAGTCAATCATCTCCGCAAAGCCTGTTCCTGCCCCACCTCCTCCAATGAGCATTCCAATCACTCCATTCTGCAGCTTTCATTTCTACTCCACCTATAAAATACGTGACATAATTTAGTGGTTAAGACACAATTCTTTGTGTTGCTTTGCAGACTTAACTCTTGCGTCCCTGAGTAAATGGGTTGATTCTTGAAGGACAGAACCATGAGCTCATGGTTTCTCTTTTGTTTGTAGCTTCCATATTTCTTAGCAACACTACAAATGCAGCAGATTTCTGATACATTCCTTAACTGCCCCCCACACACACACAAAAATAGAGAGCTTAATAATTTTTGGATGCTGGTTTTATTTGGCAAATCTGTACCTTTTGAACAATCACAGACGTTTTGGATGGTGATTTGACATTGTTATGAAATGTTAGTCAGGCTTTGTTTTATTTTCTTCCAATTAATTAACAGACACAGACTTTTTTTTTCTGTAATATTAACAAAACTTGGTTGCTTTTAGGTTAGGGTGTGTATAGATTCTTTGGCACGGTGACTATCATACCATAAACATTTAGCATGGTACTATTTTTGCATTCTATCATTCTTCAGTGCATATAATGATACATAATAACAGAAGAGTACTTATAGCAGAAAGGCAATGTATGAAGCTTCCCTGGCTGGATTTTTGTGAACTTGACACAAGCTAGAGTCTGAGAAGAGAAACCCCCAAGTGAGAAATTGCCTCATCCATTTGCCTTTGGGTAACTCTGTAGGGCTTTTCCTTGGTTAATGGTTTATAGGCAAGGGTCAGCTCACTGGGAGCTGTACTAGCTCTGGAGAGGTAGTTGTATATTATAATTTTTTTTAAGTAGGCTGACCAAACTATAGCAAGAAAGGCATAGCTTTCAGTTGCTGCCTTCAAACTCCTGTCCTACTTGAGTTTTCATTGACTTTCCTCAATGGTGGACCATGATGTAGAAGAGTATGCAAAATACCCCCTCGCCCCCTGCTTTGCCTTTGGTCAGAATGTCTTGTTTCCGTAATAGTAAGAAAACTAAAACAGAAGGGGGAAATTACACAGCTCTATTCCTGTGTCTTTAGTATATAGTCTATATTATATTTAAAAGACTCTTAATTGTGGGAAAGCATGAATACAGAAGCCTGTGGGTGCCTTCGGTCCACAACCCAATGGATGGTCACTAAGTGAACGTACCTGTGGCCAGCAGCAAGGCAAAGCGACAGGACATCATCAGCACTCCAAAAGCTTGTGCAATCAGGGTCACAACACCTCATGTCATTTACCATGGATAATGACAACTCTGCCCTTTTGACAGCACTCATTATTTCTACCCACTTCAAGAATTTACAAAAGTTGAATTGTACTTACTGTATGGTCTCTTTCACAAACAACTTCTTTCATTCAAGGATTTGTGACTTTAGTTCATGCTGTTGTGTGTAGCCATAGATGTTTTCAAGTATGTTGGAGTATGATTTCAATCTATGAATCTACCAAATATGTTTGTACATTCTATAGATAATTTGTGATGGTTAGGGTATCGTTAAGGATGTCTTGAGCCAGGCATGATGATAAATGTCTGTAATCCCAGCACTTAAGGGGCTGAGCAGATAAACTGTGAGTCTAAGGCCAGCTAGGACTCCATAGTGAGACTTGCTTTTGGGAGAACATATGTATTGTTCCTAATCATACACGTAGGAGGTTAACTGAGTCATTGTGCTCATGCTTACCAGATAACATAATTTAGTTTATTCCTGGTTTATAAGAAGTAGCCAAATAAATGTTCAATTTGATTTGGCCAATTTACAGAGCTACCAGTCATAAACAAAGCCTATAACTTCTCAGACTATGGAGTCTTCTCAGTAAGTAAAGCTGACCCTTAAGTGTGAGGGTCTGAGTTTAGATCCCTGGAACCCATGTAAAGCCACTGCTCCTCTGGTAAGATGGAAGGCAGAGTCAGGGAAAACCAGACACAGAGGCTCATCGGCTAGCTATTCTGAAGGATGCAGCAGTGAATGACAGAAACCTGCCTCAAACAAGACGAAAGGTGAAGACCAACACCTAAGGTTGTCTTCTGGTCTGCTGGCACAAGTCCAAGTCAAAGAGAGCCCAGAATGAGAAGGTGTGGCATACGGTGGTGGTGTGTGGTGAATGGCAGCTTGGAGAGATCAGAGGTGGATGGTGTAGCTGCTTGGAGCAGGCAGACAGAGAGAAATGCTTCAGAGCACAGCGGCTTGGAGGAGAATTCTGGCTGCGCTTGCTGTTGATGGGGATTGGTAGAGCCCTAAAATAACCTATTGACCCTAAAGAGCCAGGAGAGCTAAAGGGGTCTGTGCCCCCTCTCTCCATTAGCTTTTATCCTGCTTAGAATTGGGGGGTTGGGAGGGAGAGGAACCCCAAATAAAATAGAGTTTATAAAAGAGCACTACACATACCATCTGTCATTTGAAGTGAGAGACAGAAAGATAGCTCTTGCAAGAGAATACACTTGATGCTGGACTTTCTAGCCTTCAAAATGTGAATGACTTCTGTCATTTAAAAACTACTTGCAAATGGATGGAACTAGAGAAGACCATCCTGAGTGAGGTAACACATATCCAGAAAGACACGGATGATACATACTCACTTATAAGCAGATTTTATTCATATAATACATGATAGACATACTAAAATGTACAGACCCCAAGAAGATAAGCCCGATGGTCATCTTAGGCTTTATGTGGGCCCACTCGTGATGTGAGCGGAGAATAGCTCTAATATGGACTATGATGCCTGCTTTTTGATCACTTCCCCCTAATGGGACTTTTTCACTAGGCCACAGGGGAGGAAGATGAACTCAGTTCTCATGTGAATAGATGAGCTGGGGTGTCTGAGTAGGGGGCTTTCCTATTCTAAGGAATAGGGGAGAGAGGTGCAGGAGGGAGGGTGGCACTGGAAGGAGAGGAGGGAGGGGCCTATGACCAGATATAAATTTAATTAATAAAAATGGATAGAAAGATAGATGAAGAGATGGATGGATAAATTAATGAATTAATTAATTAATTAATTAATTAATTAATTAATTAATTAAAATGTAAAAGCAAGCCACTTGGTATTTGGTACTCTGTTGTAGCATCCAAGCAAACTAAGATAGCTTATGCAAATTGCTTCTACTCATCTTGTCTTTAGTATTATGCCAAGACTGTTGAAGCAACTCTTCCCTGGAGTATATTACTACAGTGTCTCTTTGGGCATGACTAAAACATCACTTTACCTAAAACATACCTTGATATACTTCCTACATCAAAAATCAGTAATTATTCCTTATGTGTAGAGAATTAGATGAACAACTTTTTATTAATTACAGTTTGTTTACTTTGTATCCCAGCTCTAACACCCTCCCTGTCTCCCTCCCTGACCCCTTCCCAATCATGCCTTCCCTCTCTCTTCTCCTCCCATGCCCCTTCCACTTATAGGGGAGGTCCTTCTCCCCTTCCATCTGATCCTAACATGTGAGGTCTCATCAGGACTGCATTGTCTTTCTCTGTGGCCTGGTAAGGCTGCTTCTCCATCAGGGGGAAATAATCAAAGAGACAGCCATCGAGTTCATGTCAGGGACAGTCCCTCTTCCCTTACTAGGGAACCCAATTGAACACTGAGCTGCCATGGGTTACATCTGTGCAGGGGTTCTAGATTATCTTCATGCCTGGTCCTTGATTGGAGTATCAGTCTCAGAAAAGACCCCTTTGCCCAGATTTTTTTTGGTTCTGTTGCTCTCCTTGTAGAGCTCCTGACCCCTCCAGGTCTTTCTATCTCCTCCCAGATGCCCCTCAACTGGGGAATGGATACAGAAATTGTGGTACATTTACAAAATTAAATACTACTCAGAAATTAAAAACAAGGAAATCATGAAATTTGCAGGCCAATGGTAAGAACTATAAAAGATCATCCTGAGTAAGGTAAGCCAAAAATAGAAAGACACACATGGAATATACTCACTTTTAAGTGGATATTAGACATATAACATAGGATAATCAGACTAAAATCTATACACTGAAAGAAGCTAAGCAAGAAGGAGGACCTTGGGTAAGATGGTCCATCCTCACTCAGAAAGGTAAATGACACGGACATCAAAAGAGGGAGAAAACAGGGAAAAGGACAGCAACGTGCCCCAGAAGAACTCTGAAAGACTACCCAGCAAGGTATCGGAACAGATGCTGAGCCTCATTGCCAAACTTTGGGCAGAGTGTGGGGAATCTTATGAAAGAATGAACAACTATTTTAATGGTTAATTAATTCACTTTTATTTATGTGTATGTGGGGGAAGGCTGTTTGAATTTATATGCAATGCTTGCATTCATGTCCCCAGAAATTCCAGAAGAGAGCATCAGATCCGTTAGAACTAGAGTTATAGGGGCTTGTGAGCTGCCTCACTGGGTGCCAGAAACAGAATCTGAGTCGTCTGCAGTTATGTGCTTTTAACTTCAGAACCACATCGACAGCCGTCAAATAAACAACTTTAGTCTAGCTTTCAGAGCTTCTATCTTTCTAGGCTGTTTTCTCAACACCCTGTATAAATTCTCTATTCCAGACAAGTAAGCCAACAACTTTGTAGTACTCATTTAGTCCCTTAACGTTGCTTTTCTTCAAAGCTTTCTGCATAGATGCACCAAATTCATTCTTCAATTTGGCTTTTTCTACCAAATGACCTCTGTGTAGTTTCTTCTTCTGGTCTTTATTTGTTCATTTAAAAATGGGTACAATCAAGTAAATAACCTGTGATTAATATAAAAAATTAAAATTAATAAAAAGGAAAAAAATTGGTCCAATCATGATTAATTTGAGAACTCTAGACAGAATAAGAAAACATGTTTGACGCTCTTATTATGATGCCTGGTACACAATATAACTTTGTTAAATCATTATTCCCTTTCTACCTTTTTTCTCATAACCAAGATAATTAGTGACCTTTCCCTCTCACTATGGTCCTTCTTCCAAAGTATATTTTATGCCCATCAGTCTCCAATAAATTCCCCAAATCACTTCTATTTTAGTCAATAATCTATTTAGAAAAATTTTTGTATTGGAAAATAAACTGACTTTCCTTAAAACACTTCAGTGTCATTACCTCTGCAGTAAATTTTATACAGTTCAACACACACACACACACACACACACACACACTCACACATACACATTGTCAATATGCAAAGCAAAACAATGCAAACAGCTCAATGAATTAGAATCTGATTTTAGGAACTACATAGTGGTGGATATTTTCAAATCTCCAAAGTAGGTTGTGATCCCTGCAGGAACAGCATTGGAAAAGCACAGAGCTGGCCTCTTCTCTCTCTAACCCATCTACTCAGCCTACTTTGGGGCCATCTCAAAAGATAATAAGAAGATATGAGCTGCATAAATTTCAAGAACAGTTTAAGTGTAAATGGTGCCTAGATGAATGAGGGAAACGAAGTCTTCTAGTGGAAGAACTGTAAATGTAGATGATAAAAGAACAAACAAAACTAGAAGACTAACCCTCCTCCTGTCTGTCATCTGTCAGCCATCCTGAGATGAATGAGGTATGAGGGCATTGCCTGCTCTTTCCCAACCTCAATACCCTGCTTGTCCAGAGAGGGAGCCAAGAGGGGTGAGGAGAAGCAAGCAGGAAAGAAGACACTCTCAGAGAGGTTACATTGTTGGAAATTCCACATATGACCCTGTCACTCCAGGGCAGAGAAGTGGCTGGTACTTCTGGGAGAAGCATTTGCAGGAAATTGTTTTTCACCAACAGTTCGAAGACTTGATTTCTGCTACTATCCTTGTCTCCTGCTGAATCTGTGCCAGGATGTTTTGCTTCTTCTGCATTTCAGAGTCTTTACCAGCAAAGGAAGGCAATTGAATCAGATCACCACAAGGCCTTCCAGCAAAAAACAATACTGGCCTCAAATTTTGGCCCCTTGATTATATGAAGGATCAACAAGAGTAATGGGAAAAAAATTAATTCTTCATAATTTTTGTTAAATTTTTCCTTAGTTTGAAAGTTCAAGTGAGAATAGAATAAAGCTAAAACTTGATAGCTATTAAAGAAAGGATGGGTTTAGGAACAATATAAAGCAGTAAATCAGGAGGGTGAGTCTAGAAATGATTGCTCCTTCCTCCAAATGCCGTGCAACTTTTCTAACAGCAGCAAAGTACACCGGCAAGCCGCCAGCCTGGAGAAGACTGGTTTTGCTCCAAACCATGTCTCAAAAACCTAAAGGAAAAAAAATGCTGAAGTATTAGAATGTGGCTAAGCTTAGGGCTCCAATGAAGCAGTCCTACTTAGGAGCAAGGAGAAAATGATGAGTCTCCCCTTGTATAAGGCTCAGAAATAAATCATGTTCGCTACTTTTCTCCTCACTGTGACTAAGTATCATACAGAAGAACCTTAAGTGATGACAGGCCTGTTACGGTTTGAAGGGTCTGGTCAGTCGTGGTCAAATAGACAGGACGGTCATATCCACTGGATCTATGGTGGGAGATCCCACACAACTTGCTGTATCCAGGTGGATCATGAAACAGGGAGAAATGGAGTTAGGACCCCGGCCAGGCTATAATCCATAAGGTCATCCTGCCAGCATCCTTCCTCTAAGCTCTGCCTCTCAAAGCTTCCAAAACAGCATCATCAGTGGGAACCAAGTGTTCAGACACAAGCCTGGGGAGGATGAGGATGTTTCACATTCAAAGCCTAACACTGACTTTAGAGACTGCTTATCAGCTTGGTCACATTGTCATTGTATTTTCCACATCAAGGCATTTGGAAAAGGAGGGTGAGTCATGATGTCTTGTTCCTTTATGATTTAGTGTGCCACTTGATTAAAAACAAGCTCAGGATTCTTTCAAAGGACTTAATTTTGTAATCAGATTTTCTTTAAAGTCTCTTGGTGAGAGCTATGGGGAAAAGATTATTCAAAGGAACAGTGGATGGCAGTGTTGGTTTGCAGCTCTAAAGCCAAGGAATGGAAAGTGCAATTTCGTTTTTTCTTAAATACTATTATTACTATTATTATTTATTCCAATTTAGTAAGTTTGTATCCTGGCTGTGGCCCACTCCCTCATCTCCTCCAGATCCCATCCTACCACCTCTTTCCCCTTATACCCCTCTCCTAGTCCTAGGGGTGGTCCTCCTCCCCTACTATCTGACTCTAACCCATCAGGTCTCATCAGGATTGTCTGGATCCTCTTTTTCTGTGGCCTAATAAGGCTACCTCAACAGGGAGGGGGGGTGTGATTGGAGAGCAGGCAACTGATTTGATGCCAGAGCCTGTCCCTGCTCCCCTTGCTAGGATACCTCCATAGAGACTGAGCTGCCCATGGGCTACATCTGAGCAGGGGGTCTAGGTCCTCTCCCTGAATGGTCCTTAGTTGATTCATCAGTCTTCTAAGGCCCCCCTGGGCCCAGATATTTTAGCTCTGTTTGTCTCCTTGCGGAGCTCCTGTCCCCTCCAGGTTTTTTTTTTATCTCCTTTTCTTAAAGAAAGAAGCAGACTTGACCCTCTGAGTTACAAGGATGTGGGCTCAGCCATGAAGAGCACATGGCTGTAGGTTCAAAACATGGTGAGAGAATTACACCAGATGATTTGATCATCACATTTTTAAAATATGGAAGGGAAAGAAATGAGCTAAAAATAATAATAATAATTTATAACTCAGTTTTACATAGAGTCTTCATAGTAGCTAAATGACAGCTAGCCCACAGAACTAACAAGTCAATAGACAGTGACTAAAGAATACAACTAGCATTCTGAAGTACATGGTGGTCTTGTGTCTTTATAGGGTATAGGGGAAAAAATTTCAAGTTAAAAGAGAGAGGAACCTGAGAAGAAAAGAATGAGTATAGTAGCCAAACTTTGGGCAGAGAGCTCAGAGTGGAAAGAAAGAGTAGGGGAGTAAGACTCAGAGCAGACAGGAGCTCCAGAAGAAGACTAACAGAGCCAACAAATCTGGGCCTGTGGGGACCTGCAGAGACTGATGCACCAGCCACAGACCATACATGAAGAGGAACTAGACCCCCCTGAGTAGCCAATAGGCAACTCAGTCTCCATCTGGGTTCCCTAGTAAGGGGGGCAGGGGCTGTCCTAATGAGATTTGATAGGCTGGGGTCAGATGGTAGGGAAGGAGGGTTACCCCTTTCTGAGGACTAGGGGAGAGGAATAGGAGGGAAAACGGAGGGAGGCTGGGACTGGGAGGAGATAAGGGAGGGGCCTACAATTGGGATGTAAAGTGAATAAATTATGAAAAATAAATTTAAATTTATAAAAAGAAGTGAAAGACGTTTTAGAATGTATTTTCTACTTAGCAGTCTAAAAATGATAGGAGTAAAGGTGCAAAGAGGCTAAAAGAATAAAAGAAAATCTCTTCGCATGATTTTATATTCAGGCTTTTAAAATGCATTCAAATGAGACAACAAACACAAGAATAGAGAATCAGAAGACAGTAAAACATCTCATAAAAACTGATGAAAATAACTACAAGCAAGAGAATGCTTGGGACACTACACAACTCACAAATCACTAGCAGTTAAGAAAATTTAATTACCATGGTATCTTCAAAATTGAATACAGTTTCTTCATGGAGTAGATGAAGAAGCAAACACCCAGCAGTGTGTCATTTTTAAATCAAAAACATGTCATGAATTTATTTTTTAATTTTAATAGTAATAATTTAATAACAATTTTAACTTATTAATGTTTCAAGTTAGCATGCAAAGCAACGGAACGCATCAGGACATCTTCATGCTTATGTGTCATTATGTTTTGTTCTCACTCACTCCCCTCCCCCATCCACCTGGCTCCCTTCTTGTTGCTCTTCTATTTTATTACCTGCACTTCATCTATTATCTACCTTCCAAAAGAAAGGTTATTCCTCTCCTTTCAAGATCGCCTTTCTACTTTTATTACCTACATATACACATGTAAACACACACACAACACAACACACACACACACACACACACACACACACACACACACACTAGGTCCTACCTATAAAAGTTGTGGTATTTGGCTTTTTGTTTGTTTGTTTGGTTGGTTGGTTGGTTGGTTTGGCTTGGTTTTTCAAGACAAGGTTTTTCTGTGTAATTGTCCTGGCTGTCCTGGACCTCCTTTTGTAGACCAGGCTGGCCTCAAACCACAGAGATCCACCTGTCTCTCTCTCTCCAGAATGGTGGGTTTAATGGTCTAAATACTGCCGCCATTACATGGCAATATTTGGCTTATTCCATCTAGCTTACTTTAATTAACATAATGTATCCCAGTCATTTGAATTTTCCTAACAATGTCATGATTTAATTGTTAGCAGATTTATAATTTATTACTAATACTTTTAGTTAACATATACAACAACTGGTTTCATTATGAAAATTTTAAGGTTACACATCATTCCACTTTACACATACCTGGAGAAGAGATAGGAGAAAATACACATGTTCAAATCCAGCCTTCCTGCACCAGCCATCACTATCACTTACTAAACAACGTAAGATCCTACAAATAGCCACTCTTAAGAAGCTAATACATTTTGCTGAAAAAAAAAAAAAGTACGATTACTTCCTTTTTAAAGAAGATGCCAAACAACTTATTTCCCACTAACTGCCTTGAATTCCCTATGACATTAACAATCTTTAGGCATTGTTATCTAAATGCTGAGTTCATTATACAGAACATCTCATTTGTGGGCTGAGAGATGTAGCCTAATTAGTGAAATGTTTGCCCAACATCTGTGAAGCCTGGGTTCAG